CAACAAAAATGCAGAGATTGATGACCCTACGTCATGAAATTAAATTGACCCTGCAAAGGTTGCATTGCATTGCTTGAAAGTCAGACTTTCAAATCGAAACAGATAAAAATGCATTCAATCAAGCTTAAACAAATACGGTGTACATTATTATGATGGAATAGAATTTCCACTGTTCATTAAATGAACCCCTCTTTTTACAACATACTCCTTTATTATTACAGCGTGGTGCCAATTTATGTTACATGAAACTTCACATTATGTACACCTATCTCTATCTCCTATGACCAATTATTTGTTTATAAGATGAACAAATTACTTGTTTGGAATAATGAGCAACAATGTGGTCCATGTACATTATTTTATTAATGAGCTGATTTTTTTTTTTTTTTTATGGAATGTTAATCATTATTAATTTGTTTATTGATAGAGTAATTTCATACAAGTAAATGGTACTTGTATATACAAGTACATCAACACAAGTATACGTGTCTCAAAGTGAGTTAAATATCACAAGCATTTAAGCTTTGTTCTGTTAACCTCGTCTGAAATTTCTAATTTAATCCATATAAGGGTTCAAAAATGAATAAAACTTCAGTGACACTCGTAAGACTTTTTTTAAAAAAAATATAGAATGAACAAAATTACATGGAAAAGTACTTGGGAACGAAAGGAAAATGAGCACGTAAAATGTTAAGAGAATACGAGTCATCCGTAGTAGTATGGGAGTTAGAAGTGAAGCGTTTGAAAGCAGAAGATCCAAAACAAAATCTAAAGGAAGATATGGAGTGGTAAAACAAATTTAAGAAAAATTGAAGTCAAAAAACAAAACAAAAATAGAGAGTGAGAGCGACGTAAGAAACCCAGACATTTCAGACAACAGTCCAGGGGGTGCATGCAGACATTCATACATGACATGCAGTATGTTTGGGCCGGGTAAATGGGCCGGGCTAGAAGCATGCAAAGCAGCTTTAATTGAAGCAAAGCAGAAGAGAAGAAAGATGGATGTTTATAAAAAAAAATTACTGAAACGTCATCGTCTGAGGGTTGAAGGCAAAAACGCGGGTCATGTCATATTCACAATTCACAACTATCTTTTAAATTATACGAGTAAAGAGATTCTTTCGAGCAGATAAAATAAACCTCTGAGTCTGAGGGAGGTCTTGTGTTCTGATCTGCTGCATTATTAATAGAGTGTACGTACTATTAGCTCTGTTTCTTTGCTTTTTTCGTTTCTTTTGCCTTATTAGCTGCCGTTGCCGAGACATTTTCGTCTATTTTTGTCCATTCTTTGTTTAGGACTCGTATATATTTCCTCCGTTTATTTTTTTTATTATTGTATACGTAAATAGTATAGTTAAGTACGAATACATAATTTTTAAAAATGAGAGAAATAAAAATAAGCGGCATAGAGGGAAAGTCATAAATAAAAAGAAAAATAATTACAAAATAGTATGAAAATGTATTCTATACTTCAGGCCTGTTCACATTTACTGAACTGAAGTGAGCTGAAATGAATATTTTATGAGAGAGGAAAATTAAGAGCTGAACTGAACTGAATTGATTGAAGCTGAAATGAAATTAAGTAAATGTAAACAGACCCTTCATAGTAATTTAGAAATTATTTTACTCTTTGATAAAAATATGTCGCGATAAAAAAAATAAAAGAAATATTGGCTTTAATTCCATTGAACAAATTAATATAGCTGTGTAAATTATACTGTACTTCTTTTAGAGTTGTCTAGCCAACTTTTTTTTAATTACTCCATACCAAAGTCATACTTATCCTAATATTTACGGAGTGTCCACGTAATACAAAGTACTCCGTGATAATTACTCATAAGGTTAAACAACTACGACTACAAAGTGCCGTGGAAGTATTATACCGGAGTTGAGTAAGAACTTAAAACATTAAAACAAAACAACAAAGAAAGAACAAAATGTATGATCTACACAAATTTGGCTGTAGTTTAGGCAAAATGGTCAGACTAAAACAATAAATGGGGGGATCAGGCTAGATAGTAGTAGACTAGTAGGAACTGCATAGTTCATAGTAGTACTATATACTTGTTAGATTTTGTTATCACTAATTAAGAAACTGCTTTCCTTCAATTCTTATCTCTGTATAAAGCTTCCCCCCCCCCCCCCCCCTTATATATCTTTGTTTTTTCTAGCATGCTATACTGCATCTACTACTGCTCTATTGCTCAATGCTCATCTAATGTCAAATATAACACATTATCAATTTTATTTTATTTATTTTTTATGGAATGAATGTATCAATCTTCTCGTTATCTGTGCCTAATTTAACCTTTGTACTTAGGGATTGACTCATGCATTGACTTGTAAACAAAATCATTTTTGGTTTGTGATTTTTATGTTTTCCTTCATTCTATCTTATCTAATACAGTATCAAAGTTAGTGATTATGGAAATTAACACAACTAATTGTTACTTGGAGATCATATTGACAAATTCACGCACAATATTGTACGTATACATACTAATTGATGATCATTTTCGAGTATTTTATGATCGGAGATCAAAGACCATAACTTGTAGCACATACGAAGTAAAGTTTATAGGTTCTTATGAGCATCAACAATGGTGCAATTGTGTAGTGAGAGTTACCATGATCGATTTTCAATAGGATTTATCTTGTTGTCTTGTTTAAAACAGTTAAACTGATAAAGTTTATAAGTAGAGTGACGTACCTTTTAAGGGGAACAAAAATGCTTACATGCTCCCTAGCTATCATCTTCTCATCCTGCCAAGTGATTGTATGACAACCTTTTCCTTATTTCTTTTCTCATAAGGCTATTAAGAGCTAGGGCAAGGACATAAGAGGATGTATTCTGTATTAGCTAGCAAAATTAGCAAAAGAAGGAATAACAAAGTTGGATTCCTACATTCGATCAAGTTCAAAAAGTTATTTAACACATCCATCTTGAATATTAATTCAATAATCTAAGTTCTACCGGGAATTGAATACGAATCAAACTCACAAATGCTTAGACGTGGGATTGAATTTCGTACACTATAGTCGAAAAACATAGTACAATACACAATATTCTTGTAAGATAATCAACCATAATTTTAAATACTTTGATCCTTTAAGGGTCTGTTCTCTTACGTTGAAATTCAGTTCAGTTCAGCTCCTAATTTTTTTCTCTTATAAAATATTCAGTTCAGTTCAGTTCAGTTCAGCTCAGCTCAGCTCAGTTCAGCTCCTAATTTTTTTCTCTTATAAAATATTCAGTTCAGTTCAGTTCAGTTCAGCTCAGCTCAGCTCAGTTCAGTTCGGCTCCGCTCCTAATTTTCTTCTCTTATAAAATATTCAGTTCATCTGAGTTCAGTCAATGAGAACATACCCTAATTTTAATTTACAATTACACATTGTTTACAACAATGGGACAATCACATTTCTTGCTTTAATTGTTTAGATCATAGATAAAAATAAACATGTAATTACAATGTACCCTTATAAGATGCAAACTTACACATGAGCTAATTAGATAGGCCAAATAATTCGAGTATATACTCCATACATAATTTGCATATTATTTTCAAACATTCTGTTTCATTCCATTAGGATTCCAAACCAAAGGGGGTCCACGATTCTCACAAACATTGACTGCTGGTCACATCCAAATTCTAACTAGTATATCATATAAAGTTTATAATTATCACTAAACATAACTAATTGAATAAAAATAATAATAATAATAATAATAATAATAATAATAATAATAATAATAATAATAATAATAATAATAATAATAATAATAATAATAATAATAATAATAATAAAAAAAAGATAGAAGTGAAGTAAATGAATTATTGATCCATCCAAAGCAAATCACAGAAACACCCATACTCCTAGGACCCTTATTTGTTCTGTTTTTCCTAAAAGAGCATAGAATGCAAACAAGGAAAATTCTAATATTGAGTAATAAAATGAGAAACATTAGTATAAAATTTATAATATAAAGTTTTAAATTAGAAATTAATATCACATCTGCCAAAGTGGTTGGTTGGTGGGGTTGCTTTAGACAAGAACTACTCCAATTACTAGCAGTAGTAACAAATAAGTGCCTTTCATATATTCATTTCATGTCTATTTCCAATTTCTTTCCTTTCAGGAGAATTTTTTTTGCTAATTCCTCTCCATTTATAATTTTATACTCTTTGTGCATCTTCACTCTCTTTCATAAAAACAATTAGACAATGAATACAACTAAGATGATATTTCTATTTATGGCATTTTCTATTCACAAGACAATTTTTTGACTTGTGAATTTCGTGAAAAGGACCCTCGTCCCGTTGTTATTATTGATTTTACTCTTTTCGCTTCGTTGTGTGTAACAACAAAGCGTAAAATTAATGATATCTTATCACAACCTAAGTACATTTCTTGTTTTATTACTTCGTGTTTTTATTATTTTTTTTCTAGTACGGAGTAAGTTATTCCCATTGTTTAAAATTAGTTTTGATTTATTAATATAACATGTAGGAAGTCACAAAAAAAACAAACAATGTATGCAAGATTTAATCATGTGTGCTAGTAATTAATCGTACTAAATTCTAGAAAAAGTAATGGTAATTAGGAAAAATAGAGCATGGTGACAACCTAATCTGTGATAAAAATGTAATGTAGTACAAAAAGGGTACATTAGTGGAATTTGTCAAAACAAGATTAAGAAAGGGCTTCTGTTAAGGGAACCCATTTTCCTTAATTCGTATAGTAGTGTTCTCGTGAATCAAGAAAGTGTTGAACAAATTTCTTATATTATTATCCGCTAATTTCTTCCACCATATTCTTAAAATGTTTACTTAGAAATTATGAAGATAATAATAAATTAATAATTAGTTAATTACTATTACTATTAACCCTGTTTTGTCAATTTTTTGAAAACCTTGAGGAAAATGCCAACATTCCTAAATGGCTAAATTTGACAACTTTTTTTCTTTTTCTTCAAAGCAGACTTATTGCATTGGGCTGCAGCCCACAGGTTAAGCTTTAGTATTTTACTTCTAGTTTCAAAACTTTGGGCCTATGTAAGCCCAATGACCTTAAATAGTGATATTAATTAATTCAACAATTCTAGCAGCCCACTTTTTTTTTTTTTCAAAATACAAACTCTACATCTCACTTGTTTTGTTAAAATGAGCAAACTAGTCTCGCAACATGAGCCACATCCTCAGAAGTGAAACTTTGTTGTGGTGGATTTCGAGCCAAAAGTGGAATTTTCAAGTTCCGTACGTGATAGCCTACCCATATCTTAGTGATTCTCCCTCTGTTTCTTTGAAGTGAGACAACTAATCTCACCGCACAAGTGGGTCATTCCGAAAAGTAAGCTATTGTGTACTTGAAAAAAAATCGTGTTCCTGTAGAGCAAATGCCAGTTTTCCACAACATTCAGACTGAGTTTTCTTGAAAAATACAGAGTACAATGCCTATAAATCTAAAAAAACATCCAAGATTCACTTTCAGATAGATGTTTCAGTTTTAAGTTTGTTGAGAGTTTATATGATTGAGGGATCATGCAGGATGCAGTAGCAAGATATTAGAAAGCTTTTATTAAATTAACTTTCAATGTTTGATATTAGGGACCCGGATGAACTGAACATATACACAATGAATTTATCGATTACTATGAACAAGATGTTCCTAGTTCATATATACTGAAGAATTATTTTACAGCAGTGTTCTAATCCATCAATTATATATGCTGCTAACTAAAATGCAGGAATTGTACTATAAAAGTAATCAAGGCATTCTTGTTTACCAGATACTGCAGCAAAAACATTTTGATCAGCGCCAGGAAGTAGATATGTTAGCTGCATCATTCACAAGCTTGTCAGCTGATTGCGTGGAACTTAATCCACATAAGCTTTATGCAACTGGCACATTGCAAGCACTGAAGACATCTTCTAAGGAGGCATGGTCTCCCGTTCCTTCATCTTTCCTAGCATACAACAGTTCCTTCCCTTTGAAGACAAACATTCCTCCCTGGAAGAAAGAAACAAGGGTCAGGTTATAGATTTTAGAGATGATCAATTATGGGCAAGACCGCAAGATTTCCAGAGGTTTGGCCTGGCATATGATCACATCTTTAGTTAGGGTAGATGTATAAATTTATAATCAACCTGTTGCAAAACACTACTCCTGTCGCTAGGTGTAGCTTGAATTGTATAATTCTCCGCGGCCTTTTTCAGGGATTCAAACCTTGAGAAAACCTTTTTCTGTCAGATTAAAACCATGGATGTGAATTATTGAGTGGACTTGAATAACTTAGGGGGAAACAATATCTCAGGAAAGAGGGTTGAAAGATTACACTGGCAGGATTGAAGAATGTCCGACCAAGACCATAATATAAACCCAATAAATCATATGCCTGTAATAACAAGCATTTCAATGAGTGTCTGTATTATGAGAAACTAGCAATATATCTCTGCAAATAATTGTTAGTAGAATTCACCTTGCGTTCAGGATCAGCATAAAGGCACTCCATAGGAAACGGTAACTGGATATGTAAAATGATAAGAGTATGAGTCAAAATGAAATAAGGCATTGAATGACCTAAACTGGAAGATCAGAAAGTTTAACAAGCAGCAACCAATATAACAAGATTAGTAAACTCTCCTAACTGAAACAAGAGCAGAAAATTGACCAGCGTATTGCTAGAACACAGTTAAAGATTTTGAGCCTCTCTGAATGTTACACCTAGAAGAGTAGAAAGAATCTGGGGCAAGCTAAATACTTCGTAAAAGATTTTCAGTGTCATAAAGTTGAAGAGAGATCTCTGAGGCACTAAGGCATGCGGAAAAGTCTAAAGCAAAGAATAGGATGGCTGTTAACAAAGTGAGAATTGTGATGGAAATACAGAGCCTAACGTGGGCAAGGAGGAAGTGACCAGACAGTTTGTAAGAAAGGCGCTCCAAATACGATAGAGGGATAACAACTGCTTTGATACCTAAATTGACTTTGGATGATTCTCCTTAGGCAGCTACCTACTCCACACTCTACCTAACTAAAAGGACTTGCATTGCATAATATGTTAGCACACCAATGGGCATGTGAAAAATGATCTTCAAAATAACACATCAGAAACCTTATTGTTCAGTAATAATACAAATGAAGTAATGAAGCATATGACTAATTACGTAATCATATTTATGCTACTTATCGCAAAGGAAAAAATCATATGACAAACTACACATTCATGAAATATGCAGATCACTAGATAAAGTCTTTAGAAATTTGCCCTGAAATTCAAAGAAATTTTAGTCATGAGTAGTGACAGTCTGCAAGAAATGAGAAAATTGCTAACAATCATAGAAACCAACGCCTAGCAAGATGATGCATTTGCTAACTCAGTACTAGAAACCACAATAACTATTCACTGGCTCCCAAAATAATTAAGTGGAAACAACAACCAAATTATTAAGCATTGCCAAGGACATGAGTATGCAAGAGTTTTCGGGAAAGTGTAACATGATCAAGAGGAAGGTAAACTTTGCAAGCAGAGTCACTAGAGTTTGTTAACTTCCATATTGCGGCTGAGATGCAGTTGTATATATAGGTCAATGTTCTTTCAAGGCATAATCTAAGACATACAGTAGAATCGTGATTATAAGAGTCTTCATTCTTTAACTATCCTCACCACCAAAGTCTATCCAAATTTGCCACTGTATAAAAACCTAGGCAGTTATAATTTATTAAAGTGGCTTCTCACATGTCACTTCATGAACTCATAAACATGTTTCTTATTCAGTTTGCAAATTTTCAAGTTAAATATTTGAGTCTTCAGCTAGACTCTAAACCTAACAGGTACAGCAAGCAAAAAGAAGTACCCGTTCTCCAAGCAAGCGGGCCTTTTCAGGTTCCCCAACACCAACAGCAATGAGTTTAACACCAGCAGCATCAAATCTCGGCATTGCTTTTTTCAAATCTGATGCAAACTCCCAGCTTCACAGAACACATTGGAAAACTTAAATCAGTTAACCAAAAAAAGGAACACCCCACTACTTTAATAGTTAATACAGTAGATTGAGGCACAGTTTTACCAGCAAACACATCCAAAGTGCCTCAGCAGTGCAACAACTGCCACTCCCTGGATAAACCCACACACAAACTTATTAACATGGTTATAATTATTATATAATAATTATCATAATATGAAATTGCATGTGTTTTAGGTCCCAGATACTTAGAATTGCAATTCATAAGATGCTTCAAAATGAAACTAACTTGATATCATAATAATATGATTCCTAAACTACTCATCTTACATCATTCCTCTAACCTCCATAGAGTGATTAAAATCACTAACTTTTTCTACATTTTGGGTTGCACTAAAGTCTAGATTTTTCCTCATATTCTGTTTTACACAATATTTTATTTAATTTCAAAGTTATTTAAGTGAAACTTGATAACTATAATCAGTATCATACAAGTACAACCGTCTCACACAAGAATATACTAAAACTAACATAATCATTGGGTGCAGTACTGCAGTTCATACATACTGTAATACGGAGTATTAATGATGACAATCATAATAACAACAATAATCAAATTTCCAAAATTTAAGACACCAATACATCATATTTCATAATTCAATAATCATAATTCATTCAATCTTGTTCAAAAATTAATTAACCCACGAAAGAAATTGAAAAAAATAAATAAAAAGGGTATTGAGGAAAGAGATGAACAAACCTCATTCTGATCCCAAAGATCCTTGAAAAAGACAGGTTCACCAGTAGCCTTGAAAATGGTGACATCACCCAAAATATTCCCAATATTATCAGAAACTGCTGCATCAGAAGCAGTAGAAACAGAAGCTTTGGAGACGAGTCGTGAATTCGGACTGGTTAGAACTCGCGATGAAAGAGACGAGACAGAAACAGAGGAAATCGAAGTGGGTAAACGTGATGATAATGATAAGGGGATTTCCCGAATTTGATGAATTGCAGAAATAGGTTGAAGATTAAGATATCGATTTGCAGTAATTCCTGCTGTTGCTGATAATAACCCCATTTCCCCCCCTTTTTTTTTTGTTCTCTTTAGAACATGAAATTAATTAATTAATAAAAAAATACACCCTAAAAATTTGGGCACTTCAGAGTTGAGACGTGTTTTCAACCAAACACGCCCTTGTTGCTTTCAGTTTTTTTTTAACGGCTAAACGATTAGACACAACTCACACAAGCCCAAAAAATTGTTGTGCCAAAGAAACAATTTACGAGTACTATTTCTGGGTATTTATTAATCCTCATTTTTAAGGATATAACTGGTGTGTATTTTAGATGATGCCTCTAAATATGACTTTGTACTTTGTTTAGTTTGCTAATTGTATTTGACTATTTTTATTCAATGTTTTGATAATCATTTTGAAATTTCATGACTTTGGATTTTTAAACACTAATTATCTTATCTAAACTTAACTATAATTTTGTTTGATAAAAAAATTAATAAATGAATGGCTGAGATGATAACACTTATAACTTAATACTTGTTGGTCTCGAGTTTAAGTCTTGCTACAAACATTTTTTATTGAGCGATTAGTTTTCTAATTTATAAAGGCAAGACAAGGGGTCGAATCTCGCAAATCTCATCTAACAATATTTCCAAGTTCCTTAGGAATTACGGTCCGGTCCCGATCCCCAAAAAAAGTCGATCCCGGGTTCCGGTCCATTCTGGTCCTGGTCCGATCCGGTTTTGGACCGATGCACAACCCTAGTTCCATCCATTTCACTCTTTGGGTAATCCAGATTCGGTGATCAGTTATGGGCAATTAGGTTCCAGTCCCTTCCCAATTGTTGTTGCAGGGGATCAAACACAAGTCATTCTTACCAAGTGTAGTCTTAATCACCATTACACCAACAACCAATTGGTCTATCACCTTATGCTCAGACTCTCAAAATAAAAAAGGAAAATGCCTACATTACAAAATCTAACAATTTTTTCATTTCTGGCCCACAAATCAAAGCAGACTCTTTGCATGGGCTGCGACCCACAAATTAAGCTTTAGTCTTTTAGTCTTTTATTCCATTTTCAAAACTCTGGGCCGATGTAAGCCTAATGATCTTAATTCAATAATTCTAGCAGCCCACATTTTTCTTTCAAAATACACTTTTAATCTCACTAGTTTTGTCAAAAGGAGCAAGCAAGTCTAACCAACATGAGCCACATCCTCATAAAAATGCCATGTTTCCACAACTTTTTACAGCAGTGTTCGTTCTAATCCAGCAATTACGTTTGCTGCTAACTAAAATGGCAGGAATTCCCCTATATTAATAAGTAATAAAATCATTCTTGTTTACTAGATACTGTAGCAAAAATTAAAAAAAAAATGATCAGCGTCATAAAGTAAAGGAAAAATTGTCTGCAATAATCCGACCTTTTGGCCGTCCGCTGAAAATAATCCCACCTATGGATTATTTTTAAATAATCCCACCTTTATACCCACTCCGCTATAAATGGTCCCAATCAGTCATGTAACCTGTTATATCAAGTTACTTGACACGTGGCGACCTGTGATTGGTCTAAAAAATAAAAATAAAATAAAATAAATTTACAACAAAAAATTAATATTAAAATTAATATTTTTTTATAGAAAAAATTCAAAAACAAAAAAAAAAAACCCACCCCAGCACCGCCTGAGTCCCCACCTCCGCGGCTCCGGTCACCAGAACCCACCCCAGCGCCGGCATCGGGGTCCAACCCCAACCCACTCCAGCGCGGCTCCAACCCCCGACTCCAGCCCCAACCCAAACCCAACCCCAGCACGACTCCAATCCCACCGCAGCGCCGACGACCTCCTTCCCCCTCCCCCGAACCACCAACCCACTCCAGCGCGACTCCAACCCCAGCACCGACTCCAAACCCAACACCTTGCAAACTCTCTAAAACCCTCGATCTCATCCCCTTTGCCCTTTTCCGGCTACCTCCCTTCCCCACGCCCCAATTTCGACCATCATCCCCTTCCCACGCCTCGATTTATGGTTGTGGTAAATTAGTGGCGATGGAAAGGGGTAGGGAGGGTCGGAGAACGGCCCGCGGGGGTCTTCGGTGTGGCTGGCTTCTCCGGGCCTCGTTTGGTAGGGGCGGCGAGGTGGTTGTGGTGGCTAGGGTCGCTGTGGTGGCTGGTTTAATTTTTTTTTTAATTTTTTTTAAATTGTTAATTAATGTTAATTAACTGTTAATATTAATCAATTCTTAAAATCAAAGTTAAAATTAAAACTTTTTTTTTTACCAATCACGTTGTGACACGTGTAAATAAAACTTTTTTAAAAAAAATTACCTCCTCAACCGGTTACAGGTCACTTGGGACCATTGAGAGCGGATTAGCTATAAAGGTCGGACTATTTAAAAATAATCCAAAGGTGGGATTATTTTGGGCGGACGGCCCAAATGTGGGATTATTTCGGGCAATTTTTCCTAAAGTAAATGCGTATACTACATTATTCATAAGCTGATTGCATGGAACACTACCTACATAAGCTTTATGCAACATGTGGTAATTCGCAAGCACTAAAAACATCGTTTAATGGGGCGTAGTCTCCCATTTGTTCCTCTTTCCGAGCATACAACAGTTCGAAGACAAACATTCCTCCCTGAAAGAAAGTAACCGGGTCAAGTTATAAGATTTTAGAACTGATCCATTAAGGGCAAGACGTCAACTTATGATCAGATTTTAAGTTAAAAAGTAAATGTACAAATATATAATCAACCGGTTGCAAAACACTACTCCTGTTACTAACTATTTGAAATTGAAGCATAATTTTACCGGGAAACACATCCTAAATGCTTCAGCAGTGCAACAACTTCCACTCCCTGGATAACCCCACAAACAAACTTATCAACATCACTATAATTTAATAATTATCATAATGTGAAAATGCATGTGTTTCTGGTACACAAATACTTACAATTGCAATTCATAATAAGTAAGTTGCTTCAAAATGAAACCACATACTATTGTCTATAATATCATAATAATGTGATTCCTAAACTACTCTTACAAAATGATTAGAATCACTCCTACTTTCTACATTTCGGGTTCCAAAATTAATTTTCTATTACATAAAACATTTACTCCTGCTTTTACTCTGTTTTACACATTATTTTACTAACTTCCAAAATTTATTTAAAGAAATCCTGATTACTAAAATCAAGTGTTTCGGATGAAAATAATGGGACCTTGTCGAAGGTCCGATGAAGTGGAGAAGACTGGATTCGGTCCAAGTGATGTTGGGCCGAAGGTTTCCTGCACAGCAAACACACGTAAACTAGCCTCGGGGCTGTTGCCGAGGGAGGCCCCTCCGATGCTAAAGTCAGTACAGTGTGTAGAAAGAGAATGCTATGCAAGAGAATTAATTGTTTGAGGCTTTGTTTGAATGAATGTACAAATGTAATATTGATGGCTTTTATACCTTTGCATATATGGAGAAGTTGGGCCTTAGCCCAATTGACTTGCCTTGTGGACTGATCTTGACTTTAGCACAATTGGAGAGGTGAACCTTGACCTTGGGCTTTTAATTGGATCATTTAATGACTAGGCCCAATTGGACTAAATTGGACCCAAACAACTTGCCCCCCAGACCCGATTTGGAAGGATGACGGGTCGGGTTTGATTAATCAGAAAAGGAGGGAAGTGAATGATTTAATTAATCCAAGAAATTTGAATTTAAACCGTAATTAATGAGATAACAACGGTTAGGCGAATAATTGTGGAAGTTGGACGGATAATGGGCGGTTTAATCGCGAGGTCGTGTGTTTAACGGTTACTTGGTGGGGTGTTTAAGAGAAATTGAAACGCGGACTCCCAGAATTCCCATTTCTGGAGATATAATTAGAGGCGCGTAATCTCTCCTCACTTATTCACCAACACAAACCCATAATCCTCGAGAAAGCCCAAGAACTCGCGTCAAAACTTCGCAAATTCCCCGAGCATTAAGCTTAGAAACTGAGACTCGTCACTACCAATTCGTAAATCGACAACTTTCGCTTCAGATTAAGGTAAATTCCTTTGATTTTAATTTATTTTTTCTTCGAATTTGAACTCTTTCCCTTTTTTTTTCGACTTTTTTCTTCGAAACTCATCCATGGTGAGAGGAGTTAGAGGTAGAGCCCGTGCTCCAAGAAGAGCAAGGCCAATTCCCGATCCTAGGAACAGGATTGGGACCTGGAATGGACAGAGAGTAGAGCCTGACCCTGCTGAAGGGATTAGGGCGACTCCCATTTCTTCGGCTCCTCCTCAGGGAACGGAGGGGCCGAGCGCTTCTGGGCGGGACGATGAAGTTCCCGCTATCCTTTGGGACATCCTTCCTGGGTTTTCGGAGTGGGAGGATGCTGAAGTAGCTTCGGCCATGATAAAGAACTGCCCCTACTCGTGGTGGGTAGAGAATGCTGAACAGTATCGGTTTGCCGAGCAGATTGAGTTGCATTACGGCATCCTTGAAGCTGATGGGTATTGGTGCCGAATGCCCGTGGCATCCGATAGAATCCATCGTCCACCCTCGGGGTATGTGGGGGTGTACACAAGACAACTTCAGTATGGTCTGAGGTTCCCTTTGGACGTATTCGTCCGAGAATTGCTGATCCATTATAATATTTCCCTATGTCAGCTAACTCCCATTAGCATCCGAAGGGTGATGACATACTTATGGGTCTGCAAGTTCTTCAGGTATGTGCCGAACCTGCACTGCTTCAAAAAGCTCCATCGGCTAGTGCCAAATATTCAAAGTGGGCACGGAAGTCACGGTTCTGGGTGGTACCGGATTGAGTCTCGACCCCAGTACCTAACCATGTGGCCGAACGACTCTTCAGACAAGGACTGGAGAGGTCAATGGATTTGGGTTAGGGCGCCCACAGACCCGGGCCACCCTTGCGTCTTCAGCGCTCCCAGGTATCTTGCTGAGCCTGATCCCGACATGGGAAGTTTAGGTCCCCCCGAAGATAACGGCCCAGATCCGAACCTTAATCAACAGAACATCTTCGGCAAGCTGCCGAACCGGGGAGGCAGCGGTCGAATGCAGCATATCCCGGAGACTTGGCTCCCCGATACGCATTATGTCTTCCAAGAGAACATGTTAGCAGTTGTCGGCCTCAGCCGAAAGTTTAGGGATGGTAAGCTTCTTCGGCTGGGGCCGAGGCCTTTTAATTATCTCTT